CCCTAAACCCTAAAACCACTAAAACCTAAAAAACCCTAAACCCTAAAAAACCCTAAACCCTAAAACCCCTAAAACCTAAAAAACCCTAAACCCTAAAAACCCTAAAACCCCCAAAACCTAAAGGTTCCAGGTTTCGACTTCGGCTCAGGCCGGGGGCCACGGTAACGTACATTGGCGCGGTGTCAAAAACTGTACCCATCAGGCCTGAGCCTGGCATCGCCAATCCAAAAAAGAAAATGGTTTAGGGTTTAGGGTTTAAGCTTTAGGGTTTAGGGGTTAGGGTTTATAGAAATTGTTATGGGTTTGGGTGCCAATAACGTTTTGACCGAAACGTTTTGACCGACAGTTTTGACCGAAAGTTTTGAACGAAAGTTTCTTTTTGGAACCGTGTTTTGAATGTGGTGGGCCTGGGCTGGGCTGGGGCTGGGCTGGTTTCGAAATGAAATCCTGTCCCAAATTCTGGGCCCTACTAAAATCTTGTCCCAAATTGTGGGCCCTACTAAAATCCTGTCCCAAATTGTGGGCCCTATTTTAATCCTGTCCCCTCAAATCCTGTCCCCAAATTGTAGGCCCTACCAAAATCCTCTCCCAAACCGCGGGCCCTGCTAAAACCCTGTCCGAAATTGTGGGCCCTACTAAAATGTCCCAAATTGTGGCCCTTCCATGCTCCACCGCCCATCCGCCTCCAGACCACTTCCCACCGCCGGCCCCCCTCGTACCTCCCACAAGGTGGCCAGCCTTGCCTGGCGGGCTGCCATGGTGTGCAGGGCTCCCAACTCCACCACCGCCGAGTACTCCGTGAGCTCCGCCACCTCTTCTGGCGGGCCTTCACCCTTCTTCCACCTCCTCCTGGCCGCCGCCTTCCCCTCTTGCACCGCCGCCTTCTCATACGGGTTCATGGCCGTCTGCCGCTCCGCCCGCTTCCCCTTGACCCCCTCCAAGCGAGTCTTCGGCGTCCCTGGCCTCGCGCCTCTTCCTTGCCTCCGTCTTTGCCGCCACCTCCGCCGGCCACTTCACTGCTTCCTCTTGGGCCAGACCTTGGCCTTGGCCTTAGTCTTGCGAATCTCTATGTGACTTATGAAGCTTCAAGCGGCTGGCTGTGTTAGGGCTCCAGAACAAGCCCAACACGTTTTAGCACACTTTGGAGACAGAAGTCGGACTCTTTCAATCGGCGCGCGCGAGAGCAGGTTGAGGTTTGGGGCCGCGGGCATTGTGGCCAAAACTCCCGCCGCCTCAAAAAAAAGTGCAAGGCCCTGCAACCAGGACGTCGGGTGTCTTCGAGTCAAGAACAAACAAGATTTATACGACCCGTACCCTTGCCATACCTCTCATCTGGAGATGCTCAGCTTTACCCATAAACCAGAACTATCTTTCTTGATAAATGTCCGCATGATAGCCGGCATCCCTTCAACAAATTTCAATCCTGTCAAGCCTCAAACCAAGACCCAAACCCTTGTCTACACGCCGAAGTCCGATGCCGAAAAAGCTGAGCACCGCGCCGAGCCGCTCGAAATACTCCGGAACAGTGTATCCTCGCGAAGTTAAGGCTGGAGGACTTCTCGGCCCCTGGGGAAGTTAGCCGCTCGGGCAGCTTTCCCTTTCTCCACCCCTGCCTCCTCCGCCTCGAAGTGGCCTTCGAACTGTGCCAACTGGCTTCGGCTCGGGCGCGGACCAGGTTGCCGAGACCTGCCATGGTGGGTACTCGGCGGTTGTGGGATCGGAGGGCTTGGAGCTTGAGGCGAACGGCTGCACGGTGACGAGTACACTCACAAGCCAATGCAAAGCAGACCCTCATGACACCGACGGGGTTCGAGCCAGGGACCTGTGGGGTGAGAGGCCGGACGCTTGCCCACTAGACCACAGACGTGGTGAAGATTCTGTTTCTTTCCTTATTAAATGTATGATTATGATAATTACGAATACCTCGCTTTACTATTGATTGATTCTAAAGTTAATGCTATTCAAAGCTTTGGGGAACCTCGGGGACGCGTCTGTCCCCCCTGTAACCGTCCCTTCCAACCAAAACAAAGCAATTAAAAGCCTTGGGAAGCGTTTGTCCGCCCTTCGGCTAGCCCTTCCTCCCTTAAAAATAATTAAAAGCTGTGGCGGGGACGCGTCTGTCCCCCCTCTCCGGCCGTCCGTTCCTTCCAAATTGTGGGCCCTACTAAAATCCTGTCCCAAATTGTGGGCCCTACTCCAAATTAAATTGTGGGCTGAAATGGAAAATGGAAGGCAAGTCCGGATGGCCAACAGCAACAGGCAAGTTCTATTTATCACTTTCTTGAGGGTTTATAGAAATTGTTAAGGGTTGGGCTGGGCTGGGCTGGGCTGGGCTGGGCTGGGCTGGGCTGGGCTGGCCTGGGCCTGGGCCTGGGCCTGGGCTGCTGGCTGGGCTGGCTGTCTTTCTTTTTGTCCCTTGCTGTGTCGTTCTTGCGTTATTTATTGCTGTCCTTCTTTCTCTCGTTCTTTCGCTCATCTTTGCTCTCGTTCCTTTTACCTGCACTTATTTATCTCTTTCTCTTGCTGTGCCGTTCATTTGTCCTTGCTCTCTATCTTTCTGCCTGTCTTTGTGTCTTTATTTATGGTTTTGTTCCGTTCTTTCTTTCTTTCTTTCTTTCTTTCTTTCTTTATTTCTTTTATTTTCTTTCTTTCTTTATTTCTTGTTTATCTTTCTTTCTTTCTTTCTTTCTCTCTTTCTTTCTTTCTTTATTTCTTTCGTTCTTTGTTTATCTCTTCTTCTCTTTCTTTGTTTCTTTCTTTCTTCACTTCACTTCACTTCACTTCACTTCGGGGTTCAGAGGGCGTGTCAAGCCCCCCGCGCCGAGAGGCGCGCCCCCTGTTTAGAGGCTTTAAGGGGCACCAACAGTCGGAGCTCAGAAAAAGACATGGTTCCCAATGGTTCCCCCGTCACCGGTATAAAGACACGGTTGCAGAATCATCGGAAAAGAAATGGATGCAGTATCAAATGCCCAAGGCAGGAAAGCAAATCGTGACGGTCCCCCTGTCTTTACGAGCTATGAGCAAGTGTGGAGCTGCAAAGTCTTTGTTCCCCGGCTCTGTCACCTCTGTAAGGCCACATATAGCAGCATATCAAAAGGGGTATACAATAACGGAATAGAAGACCCTACCCTCACATGAAAAGGAATGTTTACGCACGGCCTGGTGACAGGTCTGAGGAAGGCACACGTCGTCCCCCCGTTGGAGGGCCCTAAAGAAGCAAGAAGGTACCAAGCATGGGGGCGAAGAGGGCCTAACACTAGGTGAGCCCTGGGAGGAACGTACTTGTGCCAGCATCAACAGTATCGTTAGTCACTCTCCCCCTTGCGTAGGACAGAAAACTGTAACCACTAGAAAAAGACAGGTAGGGAACACAAAGTCTGGAATGGGGGTTTGAGCGACTTTGATCATACCCTAAGGTGGCAGCTGGTCATGCAAATTTGACCTCTGTTGGTCTCTTTGTCGTGGTGCTAAATGCAATCCCCCTTTCCATGCGAAACTGAGCAACCCTGGATCCTAACATTCAAGGCACCTCAGCTAGGGAACGCGAACTGTCGAGGGGGCTCGCAACTCTGGACTGTAACAAATGAAAAGAGAAGGGATCCCCCTGAAGCAAGCAAGCAAACTTCCGGAACAGACAAGAAACCTGAAGTAGACCAAAAGACCCCCTAAAAGTTCAAACAAAAAAGGTTACCAGGCGGTTCCCCTCATGGCAGCTCTCAGTTTTGGCGTCCCCTCAGAAGTAGTCGTGGACGTGTTCAGCAAGCACTCGACGACGCCGGTGCGGGGCGTCTGACATGTTGTCATCGTCGGTCTGGGGTTCCCCCGTTTGTCCGGTGTTCGGGGGCTCCCCCGTCCGTACTGTCGCGGGTGCCGACGTCGATGCTCGAGCCATGTCCCCCAGCCCATGGTGACGATCTTGATCCCACCATGCCTGCGAGGAATTGTCACCCCTGGCTGTTGGCATCCGTGAAGTGTCTCCCCCGTCTCGTTCTTCCGGCAGGGCGGCCAGCAGTGCCGAGGTCTGGTGTAGCAGTTCCAGCAGCCTGGCTTGCACCGCCTGTAGCGTCCCCCGCGATGATAGGGGCAGGGCTGTAGCGACCTGGTCGAGGGTGTCCACACATTCCCCTTCTCGTGCTGTGAGCGGTTGTTCACGCAGTTCCCCTTCCGTTGTCTCAAAGAGGGACTTGAGGGCGAGGCACACATCCAGCATCTGCCGCCAGTCATCCGCCGTCATCTGCGCTTGTCCCCCTGCTATCTTGAGGAGCAGCTCTCGAAGCATCTTCATCAGGGCCGGCACTCCACGCTCAGCGAGCCATTCCCCGGCCATGCGCGGTAGCCATTGCACGAGGGCATCGATGCATGGCGTAAACTCTGCATGACATATGTTGGCATGTGCGTGTTGTGAAAGCTGGAGCCTGGCAAGATCTGCCATGCGTAGAATGGCAGTAGCCGTCGTCATCTTCCCCTGGGGGGGGCTTCTGCCTCTTGTGTGCTCGCGCATCAGCATCCTCTGGTCCTCCCCCCCTGCGAGCTACATTGGTGGAGACTGTGGTGATGTGTTCATCTGCTTCAGTATAGAGCAGCACGTCAACCAAAGCGCTGTCTGCGATTTGCTGTATGGGTCGTCCCCCTGGTAGTTTTTCTGATAGTCGTCTGACGGCTATAAGGTGGGCTTCAAGTTGCTGCCACAGCGGTCTCCCCTCATCTTGTGGCTGTTGTGCAGGTAGTGGTGGTAGTGTCTCATGTGTCGGTTCCCCCTGCCCTGGGAGTGGAAGCGTGGTTC